CGGCCATTTCGGCCTTCCACCCCCCGGTGCAAGGTCAATGGGTGTTCTCCCATCACATGACCTCCCGCTTTTTAAAGGGCCTAGATCGTGCTTTCCCGTATGCCAGGGCCCTGGTCCCGCAATGGGATCTGAACCTAGTGTTATCCCGCCTCATGAGTCCTCCCTTTGAACCCTTGGCCATATGTTCCTGGTCTCACTTGTCATGGAAAGTGGCTTTCTTGGTGGCTATCACCTCAGCCCGTCGCGTCTCGGAGCTTAGGGCCTTGACCTCGGAACCCCGTATACGGTTTTCCACAAAGATAAGGTTCAGCTTTGCCCACACCCCGCTTTTCTCCCGAAGGTGGTCTCCGCCTTCCATATGGATCAGGACATTTTCCTACCGGTACTCTGTCCTAAGCCCCATTCCTCCAACGAGGAACGCTGCCTACACACGCTAGACGTACGTAGAGTGCTGGCCTTTTACCTGGACCGAACCAGGCAGTTCAGGAAGTCCTCGCAACTATTCGTTGCGTCGGCCGAGCGATTGAGGGGGCAACCGGTTTCCACCCAGCGCATTTCCCGCTGGATCACCTCGTGTATACGCACGTGTTACGACTTGACTGGGGTTCCCCCACCGCCTACAGTGAAGGCACATTCCACGCAAGCTCAAGCCTTGTCGGCCGCCTATGTAGCCCACGTCTCTATCCAGGACATATGTAGGGCTGCCACATGGTCATCTGTCCACACTTTTTCCTCGCACTATGCGATCGTCTCCCAAGCAGGGGATGACGCCGGGTTTGATAGGGTGATACTCCGTCCCGGTAACCTTTAAACTCCTACCCACTTCCATCAGATATAGCTTGGAGTCACCTACTGTGGAATACACAGGAGCAATCACTCGGAGAAGAAAGGACAGTTACCTGTCTATTCCACATCCCGCCCTCCTTCCCCTCTGTCGGAGTTGTCAGGCAAGAAGGAACTGAGGGTGGGGGGAGCGCGCAGCTCCCCTTATAGTGCGATATAGAGGCGTCAGTCCAGGGGTCGCAGCAGTGCTCCCCTCCTACGGGTACTGCTAAGGGAAAAACTTCTGGCACCGGTGCACGTGGCGAGCACGCACACCTACTGTGGAATAGACAGGAGAAACACGTCTTGAAGGACGCCAGTTACGGAACAGGTAACTGTCCTTTTCTGTATCAGCTCAGTGTCCATAGCATTTATTGAATCATCTGACAAGGTACGGCAAAGCAAGGCACAAGATACCCACCTCACACTGTTAAACCTATTACATCCCTAGTTTCTTCAGAAGCACAAGTCAAATCTCAAATATTTGGTTCTAACAAATTAGTTTAACACACTATGAACCATGGCCCAGATCTACAAAAGAATTTGGGATGCTAAATTGGGAGTTAGGGGGCCTAAATTCAAAATTGTAGGTGCCATGAGAGCCTCAAAACCTTGCCTGTGGGGCCCAATCTGCTAGGTGTTCTTAAAGCATGCCTAATGCCACACAAAACAGTTAAGTGGGGGAGAGGAGGGGACCGACTCCCTTGTAACCTTTAGCCCAGAAGTTAGGGAATTCACTTGGGATGTGGGAGACTCAAGTTCAATTCCCCACTCTGCCTGAGGAGAAGGGATTTTGAACATGGGTTTCCCACCTCTCAGGTGAGAGCCCTAAGTACTGGACTATGGAGTCACTCTCCGGATCAAAGCATATGTACTTATTTATAAATAGTGGAACAGCTTCAATAGGAGAATCACATCAGAATCTCCCATAATCCAGTAGTTCAGGCATTTACCTGAGAGGTGAGAAACCCAGGTTTAAATCACATCTCCTCAGGCAGAGGGAGGAATTCAAACGGGGGTCTCCCATATCCTGGGCAAATACCCTAATTGCTGCACTACCGATAATAAGGGAGATTTCCTCTTTCCCTCCATCTCCCCCCACTGGTCGGTCGTTAGGTGTGCAATGTTGTCGCCCTGGCAAGAACAGCTTAGGTGCCTGATTCCAGGGAGAGGATTCCCGGCTGTGGAAACAAAGTGGAGATAGATGCCTAAGTCTGGGCTGGAAGAAGGGACCTAAATCCCTGAGAAGGACAGGGCAAAATACACACCCCTCTCCTCAGCATCTGCTATTGGCTAGCTTAGGTTGCTCCCCAATTGGTGTGCTGGCTTTTGTGGATCCCATTCTTAGGCACCTATCTGTGCCCATGCACTGTATAGGCGACAGTGACGTAACAAAACCCCAGAGGACTCTGGCATCAGGAAGGGGTCCCTAGCCTATTTTTGCACCAAAATCTAAAATGTTGCTTACATTTACCATCTTGGAAAAACAGAACATATCCGTCTTATCCATAAATACAGGAACACAGTATGCAAGCTATGTACACACACACAAAAAAAAAAAAATCCATTTATGGATTTATACAAAATTTAACCAAAATCATTGTTTTCCCACCCTTTGGTTTGCAAATATAGCAACTGTTTTTGATGTATCAACTTTTCTTGCTCATTCAATTTCTGCGGAAAGAACTGCTAGTCTGGTCTCCAAAAATCAATCTTGTGTGTGATATCACCATAAGATAGAGCCCCCATATTCAAACCCTAACATTTTACCAATAACTGTTATCTAAGTGAAAATTTGCTCAACAGCAATTATGAGACTACACAAATTAGTAATAAATACACACATTATATCAACATAAAACATGGGCAACAGCTTTTATATGTCAAACTTTAAGTAGCAAGGCACATCAAAGCACAGGTGTAGTTAGTCAAAAAGCCCCAGGGCTTGAGTCATCACTGTTACTCCAGTTTGAAGCTGGTGCAACTCTACTGAAATTAAATTAATGAAGTTACACTGCTGTAAAAGAGGAGCAATGCAATGGGGAATCAAGCCCCAGATCTTTATATCTCAACCCATAATTTTGCCCATGGGAAAACTTGCAATTTGAGTACAAACAGAATTTGCTTTGCATTCACAAATCACAAGGCTGGGCACCAAATGCAAACAAGTGTTGTCACAAATATACAGCCCACTTTGGAAAATCAGATGTTTTTCTAAGAGATATGATCTAGGATTTATTTTGGGGAAGTTCTGTGCCCTGTGTTACACAGGAGGTCAGACTGGCTGATCTGGCCTTAGACTCTATGAATGTATGAAATGTGGGCTCTGTGTCACAGACACCAAACACAAGGATCCATACAGCCATGCAATTAAAAAAAAAATCCACAACACTATTGAAACAACTACATCCTCAGCACTTTTCATAGATCATGGTATCTAGTCCACGTTACACAACTATCTAAGTCAGGCACTTATGGTATGTCTGCTTTCATATCATAGGAATGTTACCTGTCCTAGATAAAGAGCCAGCCCTCACTAATATCTGTAACATCTCCTAAATACTGCTAACTAACACACACACACACACACACACACACACACACACACACACACACTCTCTCTCTCTCTCTCTCTCATTCTATTTGGATTTGGTTCGATCCTTCCACATATGAGGAAAGATTTACTGGTATGCTCCAGCTACTTTTGGGCAACTCCATAAACCCAATTTTACTGGCTGATCAGACCAGATTGACAATGGTTCTCTATTGTCAAAATGTTGTTTAGGAGCTAGAGTGCACCAGTAAATAGCCTAATTAGGAGAAACAGATTCTAACAGAGAAAAGAGATTAATTCTGATCAGAGGCTGCTCAGCAAAGCATCACCCCACACATGCCCCACCCCACGCATACCCCTGGAATGCCCCTCTCTTCCCACATATACCCCAACAACCTTCTACCAGCCCCTCTTATCCTGACAGCCCCCACATGCATACCAGCAGCCCTGACATACATCCCACTCACCACAGCTCCCAACAGCTCAGCCCCACTGGCCACAGCCCCAAACATCCCCCACTCACCCCAGAATCCTGACCCCAACAATCGCTAACATAGCCTATTCCACCCACAGTCCCCACAACTCACCCCTCCACATCCCCCACTTGCCCCAACCCCTCAGAGTCCATAGACCTCAACATTCCCTGCTCACCCCAAAGCCCACCAACAGCTCACACCCACCCCCTCACCCCCTGCCCCAGGACCTTCCTGGCCACTTAACACCCCCATTCCCCCAACTCAGCGTTCTGCTCCTGGATTAGGGCGGTTCCTCTCGATCTCAGCCGTCCAGCAGCTCCGTTTGCTCCATCACCTTTTCCCATATTCACACGGCACAGACCAAATTAGAGCAATGAGTGGCGTTGCAACCTGGTGCCTATCATGAAGGCAGGGTGGGCGGGCCAAACCTGAGTTATGCTGCAACCTCATGGGCCAACTTGCAATGTCACTCACTCAAATTTAGCCCAGTCACACTTCCATCTGACGGAGGGGCACAAACGCCAAATGTGAATGAATGCCATTGTGAACCTGTGTTCCAGGTGAAATGCTGTGCTTCATCTGGTTGGGTCCCCATAATCTTGTAGGCCCTGATGGGACTGCACCAATTTCACTGTTGTCGCTAGCCACTATAGGGAGCCTAGGTGCCTAGCTCAGGGTTTGTGGATTCCACTGGCTGGCTAGGCACCCAAAAGTTAAGCATTGTAACACTCAGTGTTGTGACTCAGCGCTTATAATCCCTCTGTGGATTGGGGCCCATATTCTTGCCACACCAGTGTAAATCTGGAGTAACTCCATTGCAGTATATGGAGTCACACCGTGTAAATAAAAGAATCAGGCCTCACAGCCGCACCAATTGTTTTGCCTCTGCATTAGGCCATTTCTTAGTAAAACTAACGTACAGCAAACAAGATGAGCTGGTTAGCTGACATTCCATTCCAAAGTAAGACTGATAATATGGTATACAGCGTAAAAAATTTACATTCCAATTTAGAGCCAACTGTATTTTCATTATGATGCACTGCAATTTTGCAGAAACACAGACTTACTTTGCACTTTGGACAAGGATTTATTGACCTTATATTTCATTATGCCTTCCTTGTAATGATATTTTTAACTTAATTTTGAAGGAATTCAGCAACATTGGTGGTACGGTGCACTACAGGTGGTGTCTGGAAGTTTCCAATACTGTTACTTGCCACTGAGCCAGAAGTAGACGATGTCATCAATATTGAAGCAGCCGGCTTAAACAAAGAATCAGTGATTGGCTTTAGGCTTACAAGTCAGACAAGGTAATGCTCTCAAAGATAAAGCATATATCCAGGTTTTGAGGATTGGATTCATGCTCAGAAGAGAAATACATCAGACAGGATGGGTTTGGGCAAGAGGAGCAGTGTGAAGCGGGTGGATCTTGTGACATCAGTCACCATCCATTACCTCCAGTGTCCCTGTATGCAAGTGATGCAGTACACAAGTGCTGTCCTGAAGGTGTGATAGTGGAAGTAGAGGCATGCTACAACCATGGGGTAGGCTGCTGACCCTGAAGGATAAGCATGTGTGGGCTTGTTCCATGAGTTAGGATTTCTCCAGGGTTTGGCCCTAAAATGCTTGTGTGCATTAGAATGTATAGGGGGGAAATTTGCATGATACACCACTAAGGCATTTACATTACAGAATAATGATGGAACTGTGACCAAATATTTTTACTAAGACGAGGCTGTTTTAAAAAGCTGTATTATTTCCCTCAATTTGCACTGTTTGTGTTCCTTTTGGTTTTGTTATGTAAACAGTCAATAGACCACTTCTAATATACTTTCTAATCTGATAAAGGAAATGAACTTTGACAATGATTTTTTTCATCTACAGCAACATTTTTCATAATGGTACGCATATAGTAATGTCGCCTTATAAGTCCCGCAGAAAATTATCAGTAGTAATCTGATTTTAAAATAATTAATTTCTGTGTTTATTACAATTGCATAACAGTATAGTATTAAAACACATACACCGCTACCTCGATATAACGCGACCCGATATAACACGAATTCGGATATAACGCAGTAAAGCAGTGCTCCGGGGGGGCAGAGCTGCGCACTCCGGTGGATCAAAGCAAGTTCAATATAACACGGTTTCACCTATAACGCGGTAAGATTTTTTGGCTCCCGAGGACAGCGTTATATCGAGGTAGAGGTGTATTAGTCCCTAATACAGTGCAAGAAGGTGATGTTCAACTATATGGTTTCCCTATGAATAATTTAATTTAAAATAATTTAAAACTATTGGGAAAAGCTTGAAGCAAAAGTATGAGGCTTACAATTTACATCAATAAGTGAGATTGCTTTTTTCCCTTTTGAATTTGCTTTTTTATTGCATGTCTAGTAAGTGTACTCAGTACACTGGCAGATAAGCGGATAGTTAACATACATAACAAATTTGTCATTGTAAGATCCCCAAAATAAAAAGATGTCCTTGGCCCTTATTGATTTTTTTTTTTAAAAAGAGCTTACTTCCAAGAGCAGTACATCTGAGATGGACAGTTGTTCCAGCTTTTAGATGGCTGTCAGTGGTGATGATTCCTCAAGACACTTGAAAAGCCTCCTATCACAATGCTCAAGTTATCAGCTACAGTGGAATAGGTTGTTTTGGGAACAAAAGTGAAGCAATTGCTCTGGCAATGTTATAATCTGCTGGTAGGTGTATGATAGTAGTGAAGATACCTAATGTTCTTGAAAAAGGTATAATAAAGTCTGAATCATTACAGTTATATAAATGAAGGTGCCATGATGCAATACAGACTCTTTCCTTCAGAGAAACTATAACCTTGTTTAAAATGGAAAAGGATACCCGCCCCCACTCAGCCATGTTCAGTGAATGTTCCCAGTACTGTACTGCAAGCTATGTCAAAAATTGCTTTGAAAACCTCCAGCTTTGGGAGGGAGGCGGGTTGGTTTTGTTTTGTGGGTAGGTGTTGGAAAAAAAGGAGTTTATAATTTAGGAATAAAAAAAAAGTGTCCAACTAAAATTTAGAATATAGCAACTTTCTTATTCAATATCAGATGTAATTTAATGCTTGTATAACTCAAATGACAGGTTAAAAAACATAAAATATAAAAAAAAGGAATTAAAAGTTTTGTTTGAGAATCTTTCAGACCTTAACAGAGGAAATCGCCCAGTGACTTAATTAGAGTTTTGCTGGATTAGGATTTGCTAGCCCCAGCCCACAAAACATTTCTAGTATCTTTTTAAAATCAAAAAGCTTCTCATAGGACCAGATTTTGCCACTCTTACTAGCACTGACTAGTACCTTACTACACAAGTAGTACCACAGTGTTCAGTGGAATTACTCATGTAGTAAGATACTACTCATCATGAGTAAGGGAATAACATTGTACATCGAAGAAAATAGGGCTACTGACGGAATAAGGCACTACTCAGTATGATAAATCTGGCTACCACAAGTCAATAAATTCAGAATTTAAGTAGATCTGTTCAACTTGTTTGGGCTCAAACATATATATACTTCTTAAAAGAAGAAAATCCCATGCAATATCTCCCAAAGACAAGTATGTATATGTTCAGTTAGTATTGAAGTGTATAAGTGATTTTTTTTTTTAAATGGAGATATCCTATCTCCTAGAACTGGAAGAGACCTTGAAAGGTCATTGAGTCCAGCCCCCTGCCTTCACTAGCAGGACCAAGTACTGATTTTGCCCCAGATCCTTAAGTGGCCCCATCAAGGATTGAACTCACAACCCTGGGTTTAGCAGGCCAATGCTCTAACCACTGAGCTATTTCCCCCCATTTCTAACCGTGGAAAAGAGCTAGAGTTGAATTTAGGGTGAAACTGGGCGACAGAGCTGGCTGAAATGTCAGATTTCTGGTTCATTTTGTTCTGAATCACAACATGATGATTTTTTTCAAAATTTCATGACTGCTGAGTGGGCAGCCCTAGGAGTCTGGAAGCCGTCGGATCCCAGCCTGGGGCAGTCCACATAGTAGGGCTGCCCTGGAACAAGAGACCCTCGTTCCACAGCAAGGAAACTAGAACTCCTGACATTGCGGGCTTTGCCCTGCTGTTGCAGATCCTGGAAGATGTGGGTCCTCATCCTTAGGGCAATCCAAATGGCATTACACTCTGCCTCTGTGGCTCCTGGAGCTGCAGGAGAGATGGGGAGGCAGCGCCAGGGCTTTCTGCTTCAGCAGCACTTCAGGAAAGTTTCTGTCACTTTCAGGCAGCCTGGGAACCATCATTCCAATTTTCCTGATGGAAAATCCAAATTTTTCAGCAATACTGAAATTTTCTCTCAGAAAATCTTGGTTTTACAAAAAGGGCATTTTTTGACATAAAATCATTCCAGCAAAAAAATGTGCTACCAGCTCTACTGGGAAAGGATTCTTTAATGAGTAGGAAAGTAGGACAGGACTGGATGTGGCAGAGTTAGCTATATCAATCTAATTCTCAGAGCTTTGCGTGATTATGGGTTCAAACTGGTTCTTACTTCACCTATCAGTTCACCCACTCCTGTTATGCAGAGTTAATTTGTTATAAAGGAGTTTCTTGGTCACAAAGGGCTATCCAAGGTTAATTTCAGTGCTGCCTAAAGAATGGTACACAGGACATTTTGGCTCTATGTTTGAGTCTGTCATTTGTTTCTCATTTTAAAAACTATACATTTTTCTATGCTTTTCAGACCTCTGAAGGGAAAAATGAAGCCTGTTTTACATTGTCAGCTTTGAAAAAATATTTCTGACTTTACTGCTGTATTTCACTAGATTTAGCAGCATGCCAGAATTATTTAATTATGTATGCTGCAAGCAAATTCATTTATTAAACGGTGTGTGAGTGTGTGTGTGCGCGCGTGTATATCTATATCTATATCTGTACACACACACACACACACACACACACACACAAACAAAAATGAGTTTTGGATTTTGATGTCATTCAATCTACTTCATGACAATTCTATGAAATTCTCCCAACAATCCAGAGATGTAATTAGAATATTTTAACTTGGTATTTTTCATGTAGTGCAGTTATAAAGTACAAATAGTGACTGAGCTCTTATTTTTTTCTTGAGTCTGTAGTTGACATAATGTAAATATTGATATTGGAACATTTAAAGCAGGGTCACCAAAAAAGGTTTATAATCATACTTTTTAGTAATGTGGTGTTTGGTGTTTAACATATTTAAGATGTAAGTTCATAAAGGAGTTGGAATAGGGGGAAGTAACTCACCAGTTGGCATATCTAGCTATCCTTACAACAGAAAATAAAAAGGAAATCTTACCTTAAAGAAGGTTTGAAAAATCCCAGATCTGCTTCTGTTTTCATAACATGGAGGCACCAAAGTCCTTTCCTCCCCTGACTCAGGTATTTCACCATGTAACCAGGCTTTTGACACTCTGCTTTTGGAGTTTTAAAGATTCTATATTTCCAAGGGTGCAGGGTCATCAGTGAAGTTAAAATCTCTTTTGGGTCTAAGGCACATGCCTTAGGGCAGGTCTTCACTACAGGGGGGGGGGTCGATTTAAGATACGCAAATTCAGCTACGCAAATAGCATAGCTGAATTCGACGTATCGGAGCCGACTTACCCCGCTGTGAGGACGGCGGCAAAATCGACCTCCGCGGCTCCCCATCGACGGCGCTTACTCCCACCTCCGCTGGTGGAGTAAGAGCGTCGATTCGGGGATCGATTGTCACGTCCCGATGAGACGCAATAATTCGATCCCTGAGAGATCGATTTCTACCCGCCGATTCAGGCGGGTAGTGTAGACCTAGCCTTAGAGTGATTGATTAAACCTAAGTTGCTTTCGGACAGGTACAAAATGTAATCAATTCTGATAAATGATGGAGACCTTATTATTCTCTCTATGTCATCATTTTGTTGAAAAGAGCCCATCATCTAACTTGTGCTTTTCAAATAAAACTTAGCTTTGTAGAATTTTATAATAGCTAATAAGGCTGCTTAAAAATGTGAATTTGGTAGTCTATTAGACCTCTGTTCAGAGTGCCCATCAGCAATGATATCATTATGAGCTTTACTTCTAGTAATTCAACTGTTGTTGAAACTATACCATAGCATTCACAAATTGCAAGCATTGTTTTCCTGTGGAGTTAAATGTCTCTAAATAAGTAACATAGGTTACCCTTCTCTTACTAGAAAAAAAAAAGTATATTTGGATCAAAACTCCTCTGACTTTCCCTGAAGACTCGGGTTTTCAAACTCAGCTTTCAGCCCCTGTAAATTATGAGGGGAAACATGCTGTATATCAAAGGGCAGCAATCAATATGGAATGCTTCTCCTAAACTGAAGTGACAAAGAGTTACCTTACTGACAGGTTTAAGGAAGACTAGTGTAAATTTCACGGATATTTTGCAAAGGCCATAATATAATGAAGACTATGTTATACATTCAGGGCTGTAAAACAGGTATGGTGGGCCTAACAAGGATTTTTATAGACATTGCAGAAGGATCTCTTATTTCTTTGTATTGAGAACATAGATTTCTAGAATTCATTAAAACATCTATGTTTAGCAATTTCCAACATCAAGAATGATTTGAATACAAATTAGCATAAACTGCTACTTACAGAATAATCTAAGGATTAAACCAAAAGGTGGAAATACACAATAAAAACTGCATCTCACACTTGCTGGTACCATGGATTTATTTTCTAGTTGCTATTCCGTATTCGTTAAGAAGGGTGTTAACATTGGCTTGGTCATTAATATCTAACCTCGATTACTGTAGCCTGTGACAGTAATTATAAAACTCAAAGGCTGGAAGATATATTTGCACCTCTTCGTTCATAATGGGCTCTGACCTGGCATAGAAATCTACATTAAGATTTATTTCATGCATGTGTCTCTCCTGAAAACACCATATAGTAAGGACCTTATCTGACCAAGTCTGTGTGCGCCTTCCTTGGCTTAGGCACAGAAGCTCTTGGAGATATAAATGTACTGCCTCTTAGGGTATGTCTACTCTAGAAATGTAAGTCAACCTATTTAGGTCAACTTACAGCCACTGCGGTAATCACTGCGGTGGTGCATGTCCGCACTACCCTCGCTGGGTTGGTGGCTAGGGGCAGTGTGGGGAGCTGAGGGCCTGGTCTTTTAGCTCCGCTGGTAGCTCCCTGCCGGGAGCCCAGCTGCCCCACAGGCTCCCAGCGGGGGGCTTCCCCCCCTCCACTCCCTGTTCACCACTGGGAGTGGGAGAAGCCACTAGGGGCTTCTCACCCCCCTCCTGCCTGCACCCCACTGGGAGTGGGGCCAGCCTTATCAATTGGGAGGGGAGGGGAGGCCACCCGGGCTTCTTGCCCCAGCTCCCAGCCGGAAGCGGGTTCCAGCTGCCCAGCTCTCCAAAGGAGCAGGGGGCAGCTGGGCTTTCTTGTCAATTTCACAGACACTGCATTGCCCTAACTACACCGACATAAGCCTTAAACCTCTCTTGGAGGTGGAGTTATGTCGGTGTAGCAGGGCACTTACATCAGCAGGAGGAAGGCTGTAGTGTAGACACTGACATAATTAGGTCGAGACAAGCTGCCTTATGTCAACCTAACTGTGAAGTGTAGACCAGCCTTTAGTCTCTGCTGGCCTGGGAAATGGGAGGATGGTACTGAACCTGGAGCTCTTCTATGGTAACATGTTTCACTAATAACAGAGCTGCTGGGCGAGTCCCATCTTAAATATTTAACTTAGTAGCTATGTTAAAGTTGATTATTAATTATATTGTAGGCTTTTGAGGGAAAGGATTGTGTCTTTTCATGTCCTATGTTAGTTGCCTGGCACAGTTTTGGGTACTATAAAATGAACAACTATTCGCTTCTTTATAACTTATTAGAAGAAAAACACTATGTTCATTACCAAGAAAATCATTCACAAACCTTCTCATGAAAGGAGAACTATTCTTCAACAGCAGCACAATATAGCCCCACATAAATTCTACATGGATTCCTTAACATGGAGCATGCCATTTACCCAGGAAATGTGGGACATTTCCACAGAGGAAGGAACCACCATAAAATATTAAGTAGCTGAATTATGAATGAGAGATTTTCTTTTTAAAAGCTAGTTGTGCAAGGCAAAGTTGTTCCTGGGAATGAGAACCCATGAATACACCGATATTGACAACATCTCAAAGAAGAATTGTTCGACTGTTTAATTAAAATAGAATCATAGAATATCAGGGTTGGAAGGGACCTCAGGAGGTCATCTAGTCCAACCCCCTGCTCAAAGCAAGACCAATCCCCAGACAGATTTTTGCCCCAGATCCCTAAATGGCCCCCTCAAGGATGGAACTCACAATCCTGGGTTTAGCAGACCAATGCTCAAACCACTGAGCTATCCCTCCCTCAGTTTCACAAATTAAGATGTAGTTGCCTTAATCATGGCACATATAGTATTGTACTATGTCGTGTTTCAGGTTTGCTTGCCTTTTTTGGGAGGGTGGGCGGGGGGGTAGAAGGAAGAGAAGACAATAATGATATTCCCATTCCCCAGTTGTTTAATTGTTTCCTCTTCCTTCTTTAGCTATTCATAGGTAAGCTAATTTTTATTTAGAAAAAAGTCAAAAGCTATTCTGTGTTTTATCCCCTTTTCCCTCTCTCTTCACGTGTTATTTTTTTCACGTTTGCCCCTAGGCATAGAATGGCATTCCCTTTGTGGTCTGCCAGACACCATCATCTCCTCATTTAAATCCATTCTTAATGCTCTCACTTTCCCAGAGATAGTTGTGGGATAAATGGAATATGGGACATCAAGACTGGCATATTTGAAAGCATGGACAGGGCAAGGGCAGCCAGTGTGATAAGAGACCAGTTCAGGTAAATAGGGTGGGGAATGTTTATGCAGTGCCTTAAAGGCCAGGACAACAAATTCAAATTTCCTGATGGAAAAGAACATAAGAACAGCCACACTGGGTCAGACCAATGGTCCATCTAGCCCAGAATCCTGTCTTCCAACAGTGGCCAATGCCAGATGCTTCAGAGGGAATGAACAGAATGGGCAATCATCAAGAGGGAGCCAGCAAAGGTGGAAGATGCCATGAGACTGAAGGACACCAAAATGTTTGCAGCCACATTTGGGATGGACTGGAGGAGGCAATGAGGTTGTCATCGAAACCTATATCTGGAGGAGAAGGAGGAGATAGCAGTAATCAAGGTACAGAAGAAAGCTGTGGCTGTCATGACAGAGGAAGGGTCAGATCTTTTAAGCATTGTGGAAGAAGAAACGGCAAGATTTGGACACAAGCAGGTGTAAGAAGAGAATGAGGAGCAGATGACGACCCCCAGGTTATGAGCCTAGATGACAGGCAGGATAGTGGAGTTGTCATCAATAACGAAAAGGAAGGAAGGAGAATTTTTGGGTGGGAAAAAGGAATCAAATTTCTACTACGTTAACACCAAGTTAATGATGAGATGTCCCTAACGAGATGTGAGAGGGAGTCTGCAATTTGGAATTGGAGAAAGGGAAACTATTATTTATCTTTTGTACTGCCCAACCATTATCCTTGTTGAAAATTAGACAGGATTTCCTCAAGAGCCTCTGTACTATACTGAAACTTGTTAGACAGCAAATCCTACAATAGCTGTAATAGAAAAAAAAACTCTCATATAAAGCCCCATCGCCATAGTGTCAGTGGAACAAGAGTCACTCTATCCAGGCATAGTTTATTTAACCCAGTTTTTAAAATGCTGCATTTAACGTATAAAACGTTTGTGTACAAAAGTATGGACGTAATTTGGGAAGAGGAGATAGGAAGGAGCGATTTTTCTCTGTCTTCCTTTCAAGGCACTTAGGATCCCTTCCCTATTTAACAACATCTGAACAGGTGGGAAGTTGCTTCACAGAAAGACTTGATCCTTACCCCTAGTTTACACACTAAATTTTATTAAACAAGGTTACCTTGTGGTCTTCATAGGGCATTGCTTTTGATAAAATGGGTTGATTAAAATCCTACTTACCATACATGCAACTCAACTGAAATCAGTGGGGGTTTTACATAAGTGAACCAAGCAGCTTTTGCTCCAACGTGGTAACCTATTGTTACTGGTACCTGGTAAAATGGGTTATTTTCATATTATACTAAGTTGAGCTGTCTTTACAGATCAGTTGTGTTTCTTTTTCCATTAAAGGGACAACAGTCCCATTATTATTCAGTATGCATCCCATAAGCTATCAAGTATCATGACTCACAGCTGCATGGTAGCATGCATGTCTACTGCAACAGGATACCTGCTATTTTTAAATAGAATTGCATAATGATCATATGTAATAGGCACAATATACTTTTACACTCTTTTTTAGGTATCCAGAACCATTCACTGCATACTTCCTGCCAGGCAGTGACCCAGAGTTTGTTGTATTGCCTCAAGCTGGGGAACTTCTTCCACTTGACACTGTTGGAACCCGTATAACCGTTGGATTCAAGCCAAGTATGTACAGCAAGAAGCATAAAGCAACTTTAGTAATTCAGGTGAGTCCTCTAAGAGTGAGTGGGCTTGCTGTATTATATTAATGGACCAAAGAAGTTTCTTTGTGAAGAAGTTTTAAAACAAGTCCGGCTCTGTTACTAAAGTTACCACTAGGGTTGCCAAATTTCTGATTGCAGAAAACCAAACACCCTTGCCCCGCCCCTTCTCCAAGGCCCTGCCCCACCCATTCCATCCTCCCTTGCTCTCTTTCACCAGGCTGGGGCAAGGTGTTGGGGTGCAGAAGGAGCTGAGAGCTCCGGCTGGGGGTGCGGACTTTGGGGTGGAGCCAGGGATGAAAGGTGTGGGGTGCAGAAGGGGGCTCCAGGCTGGAGCTGAAGGGTTCGGAGTGTGGGAGGGGGCTTTAGGCTGGGGCAGGGTGTGACGGCTCTGGCTGGGGGTGCAGGCTCTGGGGTGGGGCCAGAAATGAGGGGTTCAGAGTGTGGGAGGAGGCTTAGGGCTGCGGCAGCGGGTTGACGTATGGGGGAGAGGTGAGGGCTCTTCCAGGAGCCGCATAGAACCAGGGCAGGCAGAGAGTCTGCCTTACCCCGCTGTGCTGCCGACTGGACTTTTAATGGCCCGGTCAATGGTGCTAACCGAAGCCGCCAGAGTCCCTTTTCGACTGGGCATTCCGGCTGAAAACCGGACACCTGGCAACCCTATAGTTACCACTGTTAGAGAAATGACAAACAAAAATCTAGAAAATTAACTCATGGAACCTTTTAGAGGGGTTTCTTCGTAATAACATTCCTAGAAGTACATTCCCATCTAGATCCATCTACCCCAGGGATTGGCAACCTTTGGCCCGCGGCCCGCCAAGGAAAGCCCCTGGCAGGCCGGACTGGTTTGTTTACCTGCCGCGTCTGCAGGTTCGGCCGATTGCAGCACCCACTGGCCGCGGTTCACCGTCCCCGGCCAATGGGGGCTGCGGGAAGGGTGACCAGCACATCCCTCTGCCCGCACCGCTTCCCATGGCCAGTGGGAGCTGCGATCGGCCACACCTGCAGACGCGGCAGGTAAACAAACCAGCCCGGCCCACCAGTGGATTTCCCTGATGGGCCGGGTGCCAAAGGTTGCCGATCCCTGATCTACCCCAACCTCACCCAGGTGACAGACTGCATGAGCAAAGGAATTTAACAGCACATCAAAAGGAAAGCAAATGATCAAGTTAATTTTTAGCTAGGTGAAAGCATGTGCTGTCATACAGGTGTAATATGTAAATTGTAAAAAACTGAAAATGGATGAGAACTTGAAAATTGGATGATTGAACCTGGTGATATTCTAAACAAAAAAGAGCTCACAACCATGCTTCTCGCTGTTTCCATTACTTCACAATGACTCAGACAGAAGTGACAATCTTGGTATTTTATTATATAGCTAGAGGGTGTGTGAGCAAGGGATAAAAAGGGCCTAAGTTTATGTATTCATATATAGGAGCAAGCGTCTGAAGGTTTCTCAACTTCCCAGGAATGGTGTTTTGAAACTCCTTACCAAATGCTGGCACAATTAGGCTACTAAATCACAAACTAATTAAACAGTTCTGTAGCTAGAAAATAAGATGCTTAAAACCAAACAAGCTGAAAGGCAAATTACTGGATAAAAATATATGATATACTGGCTAAGATAATTACTACAGTTCACCTTAATTTGATCTTTCTGAGACAACTTGGAAAATGTTGAATAAAAATATGAATTCCAGAAAAATGTAAAGGTCCTAGATCCGTTATCCTAGTTTCCTTTTACCTGATTAGAGGTTTGATTCATTCATTCCTTTCACGTAAACAGAGTGGTGAGCTTTCTCTCTCTTGTTCTTTTGTAAAGAGAAAGGAATTTTGACTGAATTAGTTCTCTAGATTCTTTTATATTTAATAAGGTTTAAATAATGTTAATGTTATGTGACACAAATTGACAGAGGTCAGAAAATTCAAATATAAATGTCAGAACTCAATGCTTAATTCACATTTGTAGTCATTTTTGCATTTAAAAGCACCAGGCCAAATCCATCTTTGGTTTAACTTCTTTCACTGCAATGGAGTTGCACCAGGGATGAATTTGGTTCTTAATATTAGCTTCCTAACCCACCAGTCTCCTTTCCAAAAGTTCCTTATTTGGAACCCTGATTTTATACGTGATCTCTACATGATCAGTCTACTTTGTAACCAGCTGCGGAGGGCATGCACAAATGGCTACTTATTATTATTCTTTGGCTAATTACTATTTTTTTTAAAAAGTGCATTAAAGAGACTTTAAAATATATCTTATTTTACTTCAAAAATATGAGTGATAACTACTTTAAACAAAATTCCACAGTGATCCACTGACAATTTTAACAACCCCTAAATTACCAAAGCAAACCCTCTAACATCTTTACATAGCTCATTAAGGTCCCACTCTTTTGTACTATGATCCCACACAGGTGGACTGTAATCCTTGAACTCAGTGGAGCCAGGTGTAGGGGTCTGCTCACACAGATCAGATTACAGGATCAGGACCTAAAGGTCCCACCCAGCGTAGTGAGCTCAACGAGTGTGTTGAGGGCTATTAATGCTTACAGGCTCAAGCATTTTCGGGCCCAGTTTTGCACCACTGAAATCAATGAGCTCTCTGACCTTTATGAGATGTCTGTACAGCGTCTAATACAATGGACCCCTGCCTAATTTGGCCTTTAGGCATCAGGATATAGATGTTAAAATATGGAGGTGCTGGCAGCAACTCTGTCATGAAGGTTGAATTCCATTTTGCAATTGAAGATTGGATTCAATCATTTTGATTTATAGGAAAAATACAGTGTATTGTCAAACCTACAGCACGTACTCTGAGTACAGAATTAATTTTTTGAGAATTTACAAGTAAATCTGTGAATTAGTTCATGAAGTTAAAATTAATTAACAACTGGGTCCTTCACAAAATTTATCATCTGGCTCAGGCTCTTCTTTGTCCCAAACCATCTTAACTATGAAATAACAGACTCAAATTTTCCATATAGTTAAAGTTAAGGTTGCGAGTCTGTCACGGAGTCACTGTGACTTTCCATGACTTCTGCAGTCGCTGATGCTGGCTCAGGGGCTGCCCGAGCCACACAGCCCCTGGGCCAGCAGCAGCAGTTTGGATGCGTGGGAGGGAGCTCAGGGCTAGGGGCAGGGGGTTGAGCGTGTGGGGAAGGCTTACCTCGGGGTGGGGGACTCCCCAGCTCTCACTGGCATGGCCCTGCAGCTCCTCCTAGGTGGAGGAGCCAGGGGGCTCCGCACACTGCCTGCGCCTGCAGGCCCCGCCCCCACAGCTCCCATTGGCTGCGGTTCCTGGCCAATGGGAGCTGCGCATCCAGCGCTTGTGGTGGGAGCAATGTGCGGAGCCCCCTGGCCCCTCTGTCACCTAGGAGCTGCAGGGACATGTGGAGCCAGGTAGGGAGCTCCTGCCAGCCCTCCCCCCCACCACCCGTCGTGCCCCCGAGTTTTAGTTAGGTGTATATAGTGTATTTTTGTTTACTGCCCGTGACCTGTCCATGACTTTTTCTAAAAATACCCGTGACTAAAACGTAGCCATAGTTAAAGTTAATGGAAATCTTACACATCAGATACATTTGCAGAAATTTGGTTGTAATTCAGCTAGGTTATTAATGATTGTTGTGTGTAATTGCTATGACTATATAAGTTACAGACAGGCTTGTGTAAATTAAATGGGGGCCATGGGGACTTCAGAGGTAATTCTCTACCAACAGGAGTGGCGCCAGGGTTTTTGGCGCCCTAGGCGGGGGTTCCTTCCGTGCTCCCGGTCGTCGTCAGCAATTCTTCGGCAGGGGGGGTCCTTCCGCGCTCCCGGTCTTTGGGGCACTTCGGCGGCGGGTCCCGGAGCTAGTGGAGGACCCGCCGCAGAATTGCCGCCGAAGACCCGGAGCGCGGAAGGACCCCCCACTGCTGAATTGCCGCCAAGGGCGGCAAAATGCCGCCCCCCAAATCCTGGCGCCCTAGGCGACCGCCTGGGTCGCCTAAATGGAAGTGCCAGCCCTGTCTACCAATCGCGATCCTTCCTATTGAGCTAATTTGCCCGCAACAGTTCTATTGGTTGTAAGGACCCAGTGTTATGAGGGAGACTGAACACGTATCAGGAGTCCCCATTGGTAGAGTAACTGGCCTGACTGTCATTCCACTGTGAAGGTTTCATGGCTGCATGGTAGTCCGGGCATTGGCAATTGAAAGGCGCCTCATGCATACTGAAGTAGCACTGCCAGGAGAACTGAGCAAGGAACTCATAGGGTCCCTTTAAAACTCAGATGTTGGGACTCAGGTTCTGGGCTCTCTCTGCCCTCTCATCACATAGTGCCCTCTTCACTAAAACAGCCCTTGAAACCAATAAGTCAATTGTAAATTAAGGGCCAGACTCACCAGTACATTTCAGCTGCTTTGTACTGCTCTGATGAGACAAAGCAGTTGTGAATCCTGGTTAAATGGCCTGTTTGCTCAGGTTACTTTGGTCCACCAAGGAATATGCCCTTAAAAATTCAAATAAAAGAAAGTTACTTCAGTTTGACACCCCATATCTTAACAAAATTCAAAATATTACATGATAGCATTCTTTTTTGGGTTTCTTGTTTAGAATTAGTGCTCATGGTTATTGCATGGCATCACGACAGAGCAGTGTTAAGGTTGTTTGCGTGCCTGAATTGTTGTTGTTGTTTTTTTTTTCTTCTTAAAATGTTTTATTTTTTCAAGTGTACCCTTAACTCGGAATTTCTTCTATTTATAATACTTGGTTTTGGGATAATTACAACATCCTTGTATTTTTATTTATTTATTTTATATGTACTTTCAGACTTAAATCCATGGTAACTTTTTTCGGTCTGGGATTAATTAATAATAGTGAAATCTTTGACACTGACTTCAACGGGAGCAAGTTCATCATCTACATGACAAGTTCCTTTGCCATTGAAAATAATCCCAAAATAAACTATTATTTTTGTGATCCCTATTTCCCACTATTAATCAAGCTGCACCTCAACAAAGTAGTA